CAGCTGAGTGGGCTGTTCTGCGTTTCCTTATGTTTTGTTTGCTGGATGCACAGGATGATGCCTGCTTTTCAGGAAGGAAATGGAGGTTTCCTTGCTGTTGCGCTGACTGCAGAGTTAGGGTGTCTGCGCTTTGCTGTGTGATTTCTGCAGCGCGGGAGAAATGAGTCCTGGACTCACGATTGGAGACTGGAGCTGTCACGTGCTCCCATGGCATTGGGTGTGGCCGTGTGCCTTTGTGTGTTTCAATTCCATGTTTGCTGTTTTAAATCTCCAGGTTCTCAGTGTTTTTAACTTGTGCACAGAGCAGGGATGTTGAGGAATCTGAGAGATCCGTCACCCTGTTCTTTATGAAAAGCCCTGTTAGAACAATCGGAAGTGCAGACGGCAGAGCTGAAACTCACTGCTGTGCAAGTGTCAGACCTATGTCTGCGCAGGAAGCCGAGTCCCAGCAGGAGCCCGGCCAGGCCTCCCTGCTTTCCCAGGGCCTGGGGTGTGGCTGGGCTGGTGTCACCGGCCCCGCAGCAGACCCCTGTGTGTCTTGTAGGAAAGAACTGGCGGAGGCACACAAGACCAACAAGCCGTGTGGGAAGTGTCACTTCTACCTTCTGATCAGCAAGACGTTTGCGGAAGCAGGAAAAGGCAATTCCAAAAAGAAGCAGAGCAGCCAAAAGAACGATGAGTTAATGTTTGCGAATGCAGAGGAAGAATTTTTCTACGAGGTAAGACGGTCTTCCATGTATTTGTTTAGATGGAACCTCCGGTTCTCACTTCGGTTCTCAACCAGCAGCCCTTTCATGCTGATGTGACCAGTTGTGCGTCTCTCAGGTGACGAGAGAGTGAGCGAGTCAGTTTACTGCTAAACCTCACCTTGTTAACATCTCAGGAAGTTGTGCTGGGAATATTTTTGTGTTTTTTTACTTTTGCTGATTTGGTTTTCAAACAAGTCGCTTCTTGAACAGCCTTCCGGAACGAATTAAGTTCGAGAACCAAGGTTCCCCGGTATATAGGGATTTTCTTGACAATAAGTCAGGACTCTCCCATTTTGTACCAGTCTTTCGAGTGTGGCCACTCTGTTTTCCTCCTTGTCCCCAGCTGCTAGCAGCTCACAGTGCCTGGCGCGCACTAGGTTCTCACAGGTCATCACCGCCCCAGCCCCGCTGTTGGTGACGAGTGTGGGAGGAGACAGTCACGAACCTGCTGGTAGTGATCGGGCTGATGATGTGCTGCGAGAGCTGCGGCTCCCAAACCCCTCGGGAGGAAGGATGAGCCTGGGTTCAAGGTGGACATTGAGTCTGAGGGACAGTCCTCAGCTGAGGTCCCAGCCGTCGGGTGGACCCCTGCCCCTCCTGTCTGGCTCCTGGGCCGCTCTGTCCCTCATCCTGGATGTCATCCCGTTAGTGGGCTTCTGGCACTTTCCTTCCTGTAAAGGTAGCTGGTGCGCGATGGCCAGCCAGAGAGAGAATACCCTCCCCGTGCAGCCCTCCCCAGAAGTGAACCTCCGAGGAGGGCCCTCTGCTGGGATGGCCGCCGTCGAGACTGGCAGCGCTGGGCCTTTTCAGGAAGGAGACAGTGGGAATGAAATTTTTGAGGCTCTGCCCTGCATCTCAGGGTGCGTGTGGTTCTGCAAGCTTACCTTCGTCCACAGCAGCTCTCTGCCAAGGAGGAGCTGGGGCGGCGGGAAGGCCTGCATTTGCAGGGTCTTCTTGTTAGATGTCCGGTGTTGTGCCTGTTACTGTCCCTCTGTCACAAGGTTGTGAGTAGGAGTGACTGCAGAGTGGTAGACAGAGTGTAAGTGGGCGGTAGCTCACTGTCACCGACTGCTGGCTCACCTCCTGGAGGTGCCTTCTGCCAAGTGTCCCTTCGGGCTTCCTTCAGCCCCAGTTCCTATGGAAACGTGTCAAACAGTATTTGCTGCCGATTGAGTGCGTGTTGCTTATTCACGGTGTTTGTGTGGTTCAGAAGGCAGTCCTGACGTTCAGCTACTCAGTGCAGGAGGAGAGCGACTCGTGTCTGGGCGGCAGGTGGTCCTTCGACGACGTCCCGATGAAGCCCCTGCGCACCGTCATGCTGGTCCCGTGTGACAGGATGGGCGAGATCATGGCGGCGCTGGAGGAACATCTGTCTGTCTAGCCGCTTCCCACCGAGAGGGCGTGCTGTGTTTGTAAAATCACCAGAAAACCCAGTGGAGTTTTACTGAAAAACTCGAGACTTTATTTAGCTTTAGCTTCTCTACACAAAGTAGGGTTCTGTCGCCTGTGTCTGTGACACATTTACAAAATAGTGTTTAAAAAATTTTTGGTCAAATTATGTACGTTTGATTAAAAACCTTCCCCGTAAGAAGAAAAACGTGGAGCAGTTATTGAAAGAACTCAATAAAAACGTCTATATTTTATTTTTAAATAATATACAAAGTATTAGTTTGTTTCAAGACTCCTGTGTGGCTCAGAGGCTGTCCTCCCGTGAGTCGCTGCCCGGCGCCGGCCCCACAGGCCGACTGGGGGTTCGTGGCGCTCTGGGAGCTCCTGAGGCGTCACTGCAGGGCGCACCGTTGTTCAGTAGTTTCAGGGCACTTCTCGCAGGGCGTCTGCTCTCCTTTCGTGGCGGGGGCGGGGGCCAGGCGGTCCATGGCTTGCTGCAGGATGTCCTTGCTCTCGCTGGGGGGCAGGTTGCTGAAGTAGTACTGGGGCGCCAGCTGCACAAACCTGTGTTAAGAAATAGTGTTATTGGTGGGAGAGAGCGAGCGTGCCCGAGCCCTTCCCCGCCTGCAGAATCCATAGGCTGGCATAACGTGGGCTCCTCCGAGCCTTAGCCCGCTCGCTGTAGGGTGGCCCTGGCTGTTGTTTTTACGGAACCAACCCCCTAGCATTTCTAGGGCTGCTGGCTCTCCAGTGTTAGGCCACCACTCTGACCCCCGGGGCACTGTACTTCCCCCCAGAGCCGTCCAGTGCGAAGGATCAGATCTGATGCTTGGGAGAACTCTGGGTGGTAAGAGGAGGGCCTTTGCCTCTCCCTCTTCCTAACGAGACCACTCCATGTCCAGCTGAGTGGACAGCTGTCGCTTTCCCTTGGTTCCTGCCAGAGCACCACTCTGCCCACGTGGTGGAGGGACCTTCAGAACGGACCCGGCACTGTGCCAGCCTCCGAGGCCAGTCTCCCTTCTCCCCACTGCCCCTCCACACCCGTTCACTTGGCAGCCAGAGGGATCTTTAGGTCCATGAGATGCCACCCTTCTCAATCTCCAGCTGCTTTCAGTACTGCACTCGGCATAAACCATAAGCCCCACCGCTCTGGCCGCTGCCTGTCTTCAGCCCCCCGCTCAGTCTCAGTGGCTCATCTGAGAAAGGCTGAGCTTATTCCTCAAGCCTGCCCCTGCTGGCTCCTCCGCAGCGTCCATGCCTGGTCAGAGGCCTGCTGCTTTGTGTTTGTAACGGAGCCTCTGTGCTGCGGCCTCAAGGCAGGGCCGGTCTGCAGGGATCGCTAAGTGGAAACCTCTCTAACGGAGCCTAGCGCGTAGTAGGAACCCATCTCCCTGAGACGCACAGCTCCGGGGAGGTCTCAGAGGTGATCCTGATGTAGTTGTTCTCGCAGATGCTGAACTTGTGGAAGAGGACCCACTCGGGCGTCTTCCTGCTGAGCGAGTAGCTGGACAGCGGGTGCAGCTGCGCCACCTGCTTGTGCGTCAGCATCAGGTAGTTGCCCGACCCGTCCACGTCCCGAGCGATCTAGGGCGGCGTGGTCAGGAGAGACTGTTACTGTGGAGGTCAGCACTCACGCGCTGGGTTTAAGCCCCAAAGGGTCTCTTTCCTCGGGAGCCTTAGGACCAGAGTTCCACCCATGCTTCCTATTTCAGATACCGAAGTAGGACAGGCAGTGGTGATGGTGCCGACTCGAGCGACGCCGGGGCGCTGCAGTGGGTGATGTCTGCTCGTGAGTGAGGCTGCTCTCGAACAGCAAGTGCAGCACCCCTCGTGGCCTCGCTCGTCTAGTCCTCAAGACCCAGTGACGCCAGGACCTAACCTCCCGCAGGGACGAGGACCTCCGAGCTGAGATGTCGGGCCTCCAGTGGGCCGCGTTAGGGTGGGGAGGGGATGTCAGACCCACGTCTCTGACGCTCTCTAAGAGCCTCCCAGTGAGGAGCGAAGGAGGCGCTTCTCCCTTTCCTGGGCATTATTCACCCCTAAATGTGAACGAGTTCGCCAACAGCTCACTCGTTCACCAACAGCCCTGCCCTTTGGACAGCGTTGGCGTGTTCTGGCTGAGCCCTTCATGCCTGAGGGAAGTGTATTTAAATACAAAGTCGCATCAGGGCTTTTGTTGTGTTTTAAAGTGAACCTCAGTGAAGTGATCACCGAGAGGGAACGAGCGCCTGCCTGGGGGTCGGGGCCTGGGGGTCAGGGCCCTGGAGGCGGCCGCCCTCACCTGCATGAAGAAGCCGGACAGCAGGGCCTTCTTGATGTTCAGCGTGTTCTCCTGGGAGCCGAACGCGGGCTCGGCGTAGGGCAGCTCGATCCGCCGGACGATGTCCACGAGCTCGGCGCGGACGGCGCCCGCCATCCTCAGGGCGGCGCAGTTCAGGAAGCGCTCGTGGCACCACTTCTCCACGCAGTCTGCGGGGAGGGCACGGGGTCAGGGTCGCGGTGGGTCTGCAAGGGCCTGGCCAGGAAGGCGCTCTCCTCTGCTTCCCTGACCTGAGGAGGTCACATGGTGCGTGCGGGGAGGCAGCAAGGACAGGGACCTCTGGGGCAGCGAGGTGGGCCCTCTAGCGCTGCCAGGAAGAACCTGCACTGGCCAGGGGGTTCAGGGGGTCCCACGGCCCCACGAACTGTGGAGGCCACATGCTCCTAGCGTGGACCGGAAGCCTGTCGCCTGTCTGGCTCACGGGCAGCGGGCACTGCCTGAGTCCCGTTTGCCTGGTGTGCGCAGCAGGATGTGCACGGTCCCAGCTGATCAGAGTAGGACAGGAGGGGCTCACAGTGGACAGTCCTCTGGTCCAGGAAACACATGTTCTATCTCTGCATATAAAAGCCTAAGCCACCGTTCGACCGGTAGCTATGATGCGCACTGACCACCGGGGGCAGATGCTCCGACCGGTGGGTTAGCTTGGTGCTAAAAACCCTAACTTAACTCTGGTGCCGTGTCACATATAGAAATTTTTTGATATTTGCAACCATAGTAAAACAAAAATGTATATTTTTGATATTTATTTTATATATTTAAATGCCATTTAACAAAAATCAACCAAAAAATGAGTTCGCGTGTCATAGGTTCGCCATCACTGTGCTAGGGTGTGGCCGATTGAGACTGGGCGAGGTACGCCCTGGAGCCCTCCCGTGGTCCCTCCCTGGCCCTGATTGTGCACCGGGCCTCTAGTTTATTATAAGAGTAGAGTTACTTCTGGTGGATCTGGGAATTACATTAGAGTTAAGCTACCCTGCTGCAAAGGGTACATTACAATTCCTGCGCCTGGTGCAGCTTGAAGTCACTCTTTCTTGCCACCTACAGTTACCTTGTGGACCAGTGTGCGGCCTTGGCATGGTGGGCCCTGTCCTGTCCACGCAGGCCCACTCGGAGCAACAAGAGCATGCACCTGGCCCCCATCCTGCCGGCTCTCAAAGATGCTGCCGAACGACCCGCCCCGTGTAACTTCTGCCTCATGTGCTGCTGCAGGCACCATTCCATGCTTCAGGACTCCGGTCCCCACCCCGCTCCCGCTTCCCCTCGTCTGCCCTCGCCTCCCTCTGCCAAGCTCCAGCCCTGTCCTCCCCAGTGTCTCAGCACCGGCCTGTCCTCCACTGTTATCTGGAGGGTTTGTTTTGCTTTTGCCCCATAGCCTCTCCGTCCAGCAGGGATGTGCCAGGCTGTGGACAGCAGGGAGCACAGCTGTGACCCAGGGCACCGAGATGGCAGGTCCTTGTTTCTCCCCAAAAATCCGAGAGGCAGGAGCCGTGCAAGTCTCCCGGTGTCCTCCTGCCCCCAGCAGCTCCCCCTGAACTCGGCCGAGCTGAACGCTGGGTTCCAGCCCCAGCCCGCCCGCAGCCCCGAAGCCCCACAGCCCGCCCGCAGCCCCACAGCCCGCAGCTGCCAGAGCTCTGGGAGCAGGAGTGAGTTTCTCTGCTCGGCAGAGACCCACGGGTGCACTGAGGGCTTCAAGCCCATTCCGCCGCCGTGACCAGGCCTAGAGAGGATGTTTGGCCAGTTACTCAGCTTCCTGGGGGAAGGAAAGGGGCTCCGCGGGTGACCCTGAGAATCAGGCACCACTTACGCTCGCTGGCGGAGCTCAGAGCTGCGTCCTGGTAGGCCTTGTAAACGTTGATGAGGGTAAAGTGATCGCCTTCGGGATGTAGAAATGTCTTCCAACAAGTCAGGGCAGCCTCCTCAGCTCCACGCGGCAGATGCGAGAAGCAGCTGGGCGCTTGAAGACAGAAGGGGCCAGGGCGGCAGTGAGGAGACATTTCGGTAGCACAGCTCTCGGGCTTGTAGCAGTCAGTCTTACTCTGACTGATCAGTTTTCCCTTTTCCTCGGGCACCAAGGGGCTCAGGGGGTTGTCATATGTGTGTCTCCTTGTTTCTGTTTGTCTTTCTTAGTCTGCTGGTCACACGGCTGTGCTGCAGCGGGAGTGGGGGCGGCGCTCCCAGGGCAGTGCAGGCGCAGGATTAGAACACAGGTTCTCGTGCCGCACAGCCTTCGGTCTGTCTGCCGTTAAAGCATAACTTCAAGCGCACAGACCAGGGGACCAGAGGTGCGGGAAGTAAAGCCACGCACACACATCATCATGTGGGAAGGACATGTCTAGTGACACATTTTCTTCAAATTTTTCTTGATCTGCGCTGACTTCAGCAAAAGCTAATCTGGTGTGCTTTCACCTATCAGATTAAGAAATTCACTAGCTATGATTTAGGCTTTTTCATACTAAGATAATTGTTATAATTGTCTTCCTTTCCATCTATTAAAATATCATCACTTCAACCTGATCTCATCTAAAGCGCTAGCCGTGCAGATTCACAAAACAGTCCTGGGTACCTGTTACCATGGCAGCGATGGTCAGCATCTCGTCTACACAGTCAAACTCGCAGGACGCGAGGATCGACTTGGAGAGTTGTGGGTCCAGGGGGAACTCGGACATGATGATTCCAAACTCCGACAGGTTCCCGTCGTTGTCCAGCGCCGCCAGGTAGTCCAGGTCCTCCAGGGCCTGCATCAGGCTCTCGGGGGCTGGGGAGAGAGCAGTCGGCCTCACCCCGAGGCGGAGGGACAGGCCCGGGGTGTCCCTCCCATAGTGAACAAACATGACTCAGCAGTTCCAAGACAACACCAGGCGATGAAGGGCTGACTCCTGAGCAGGGACACCAACGACATGAGCCACGTGACTGCCCAGCTACTGCCTTAAAGTTTCAGGCTGTGGTGCAGGGAGGGAAGCCGGATGGAGCTGCAGACCCAAGCTGTGGGGACGGTGCTGTGGGTTTGGGGAGCCTGCGGTGGTCAGAGCCCACTGGTCGGGGTGCGAGGAGACAGCTGTGCAGAGGACCTGGGGGATCTACAGGCGTCCCCGTCATGGTCAGCAGCACACGTGAGAAACTACTGCAGGCCCCACAGCCACCCAGAGGACCAGAGGGCCCGTGCCCGGTGCCCACACAGGACAGGCTGGGCAGGCTCATCCGAGTCTCTCTAGGTCAGTGGTTCTCAACCTTCTGGCCCTTTAAATACAGTTCCTCATGTTGTGACCCAACCATAAAATTATTTTTGTTGCTACTTCATAACTGTAATGTTGCTACTGTTACGAATCGTCATGTAAATATCTGATATGCAGGATGGTCTTAGGCGACCCCTGTGAAAGGGTCGTTCGACCGCCAAAGGGGTCGCGACCCACAGGTTGAGAACCGCTGCTCTAGGTGGACACTGCGGCTTCTGCCTATAGTTGTGTTAATTGGACTCGAAGTGGTGACATTGCCTGTGATGTACCACATCTCTGAGCTCCGCTCCATGCAGGGCCAGCTGGCCCTGAGCTCCCTGACCCAGGTCAGCAGTGACTGTCACTCAGGCTGGAGGTCAGCCCTCAGTACTAGGGAAGGGAAAGGACTGGTTTGTATTTTTAAAGAGATCTGCATCAGGATCTAAGCTCACTTAACAGCCTGCAGCCCCGTGATGCCAGATCCTTTCCTCACGGCTCATGGACCCTGAAAAGGGGACCAGCTTGCTGACCTGCGGGTTTCATTCATCAGCGGGACACGGGCGGCAGCTGCGAGCATCGTGGTGTCCCTTCCAGAGCAGTGAGTCAGGTCAGCCCACAGCTCTGCTCCCCAGCGAGCAGCATACACGTGCGTAGTCAGGAGACAGTAAATTCTCCCTGACCCTCTGTCCCTGGTGACCAGCTGGTCTCACAGGGGGGCCACCGAGAACGGAATTCTGCATGGTGATGGCCAGCTGTTTGCTTTTCCAAATCGTGACACTACAATTCCCGCTTTTCTTCTCCCCTCGTGACCACACATCTGTATCCCCAACACGATGCCTGCAGTCAGCTTAGGGCCTGCTGCTGGCCCGCCCGCCCGCCCACCGCGCGTCCGCCCGCCCGGCGCGCACTACCTGGTCTGTTGAGGAGGTCGCAGTGGCCCAGGCCCGCGATGGCGATGCGCTTCATGAAGAGCACCATGCTCGTCAGGTTGGCCGCCTGCACTTCCGCCGGCTTCAGCGGCCGCATGTCCTTGGAGGCAAACTCCTCCGAGTACAGACAGAACAGCTTTCCTGGGAGAAACATGGGAAGTGCTCGCCTGCTGTGGCCTTGGCCGTGGACGGGGTGCCCGGGGTGCCCGGGAGTCGGGGTGACGCCCGCAGCGTTACCTGACGACGAGCTGAGGATCTGCTTGCGCGCCTCCGCTTGGCTTTGGCTGATGGGCTGCCTGACCCGTGAGCTCGCCCGGATGCGCGGGTTGTACACCTGTGGGCGGAGACAGCACCCTCAGCGCCATTCCCGCGGAGGCTCTGCGACAGGCCGTCCACGCGTCCACTGTGCTCTGCTTGTCTCGAGATGGAAGCGCCAAGCACGCGGGTCGGTGGACTTAAAGGCTGTCTGCTTCCCACAGTGTGGGCCTCGGGCATCGCCGAGATGCTAGTGCCGCCCCGTCGCGAGCACTGTCACCCGGCTGTGCCACGTGGAGGACTGTCACCGGCCGTGCTGCCCCGTCAAGGTTCTGTGCAAACAGCCTGAGCTCCCGTCTCCTGCATACGTGCACCGACCTCGTCCATCCTGCCAGCTCCAGGGGCTGCGACGGCACCACCAGTGCTGCTCTTCGGGGGACTTAAGGAGTGACCCTGGCTTCCCTGGTGGGGACTGATTCAATATCAAGCACCCTGTCCCGGAACCTCCCTAAGGCGCAGTTTTCTGGAGGTGAGGGCCACACAGCATCTGATCACGCTCCGTGCATCAGTGCTCAGGAAGGTCCTGTTCAGTTTGAAATGCCGGGACTTAAGTCCCAGCTTTGAGAGTGAGCTGTCCTATTCCATTTTCACTAATTTTTTTTTTCTTTAAAGGCAGCTATAGAAAATAATACATTCTTTAACATTTTAGGGTGGAATTTTATTATGTAGTTATAAAGCTAAAATCTGTTAAAATCAGCGCCAGTGCACTTGAAACCGACTTCTAGTAAGTTCCTTGAGGGGAGATGCTAATGACTTCAATACAGGGTTTACCAGAAACACTGAGTAGCACTGACTGTTCAGGAGGCAGCAATTTGCTAACGAAAAACCTCTGACCAGGACCCCCACCTGGTGCTCCGTAGCTGTCTCCTTCCTCACAACATTGCCTCTGGCGCCTCCATCCCTTTATTGTGTCCAGACCACGACGGGGCTGCGAAGGGCAGCGGTCACTCCCTGCCCTGGAGCGAGCACAGCACCCCTCAGCCTTCATCCTCACTCTCTGGCCCAGAACAGGGCAGGAACCCAAGAAACTGACTCAACTCTCCCCAGCTGTTTGGTAAGAGTTACCTTCCTCCTCTCCACACCCACGTCGATCACAAAGCGGACCGAGCTGCTCCCGATCAGGGCCTCCCCGGGGCTGGCGGTCAGCACCACTCGCCGCTGAGGGGCTGGGCAGCTTCTCTCTGTCTCGTCGTTTGGCTTGAACAGCGCACACTTCTCTCTCGGGTACAAAGGCACCACCACCAGCTCGCCGTGGTCTGCGTCAGGGTGACAGCCTTCTCGACAGACGGTTTCGTAGGCTTTTTCAATATCCTAACGGGCAAAGGTGACAGCACCCATGAGAATGTGGCACATCACAGACAGCATCATCACTGAGAGTCCAATTAACACAACTGTAGGCAGAAGCCGCCGTGTCCATAGGAAGGAACCGTGTCTGTGGCACCATCAAGTGTAAAAAGGGGACGTGACGCCCTAGCTGGTTTGGCTTAGTGGATAGAGCATTGACCTCGGGACTCCGGGGTCCCGGGTTCGATTCCAGTCAAGGGCACAGGCCTGGGTTGCAGGCTTGATCCCCAGTGCGGGGCGTGCAGGAGGCAGCCGATCAATGATTCTCTTTCATCATTGATGTTTCTATCTCTCTCTCCCTCTCCCTTCCTCTCTGAGATCAATAAAAATATGTTAAAAAAAAATTGAAAAAATTAAAAAAAAAAGAGGACGTGAGGGATGAGAACGTTTCTTTGGGGAAGTAATGTACAGTTTCATTGCTTTCAGTGCAAGATTGTTTTCCTCTGTGAAATATGCTATCTTTGCCCCTACGCAGTCATCCTATTTTTGTTTTTAAACTTCACCCGAGGATATTTTTCCATTGATTTTTTTTAGAGAGAGTGGAAGAGAGAAGGAAAGACAGAAATATCGATGTGAGAGAAGCACTTTGATTGGTTGCCTCCTGCACAGGGGCCCGGGGAGGAGCCTGCAACCAGGTATGTGCCCTTGACTGGAATTGAACCCGGGACCCTTTGGTCTGCAGGTCGATGCTCCATCTACTGAGCCCAACCGGCCAGGGCTCATCCTAATTTCCTAGCCTGATGCAGTTCTCATCTCCATTAGCAGTGGCAGCTAAACAAAAGTTATTCTCACGTCAGTGACGATGCATCACTGCTTTCCTGGCGGCAGAACCAGGAACCAGGAGTTACAGTCTCCAGACTCCCAATCACAGCGCACAAACACCCTACCCTCAGGGCTCTCCCAGGTCATTCTGGAAATGATTCTCACCCCCTAGACTTCACAATAGCCATAGTTCTCTATTGGCTTCTAGTGGCTTAAACTTTCTGGCTGCAGGTGGGTTCTGATGGTGAGTTTGTTCCAAATGGGGCGGAAGGAAGAACAGAAGGACCTGCCCAAAGGGAACAAACAGCCAAGCAGGAGCAGGTGCTGCAGGTGGTCCAGACTCCATGCTCAGCTGGCACAGGGCTTTGCGGTCAGAACCTTCCGAATTTCAAAAATAGGCTTAAAATATGCATTTTGTGCTGTAGCTGGTTTGTTTAGTCATTTCTCTCTTCCTCAGTGTACAGTGCATTTACCTCTGTGGGGCTTTCCTAGAATTACCTGCAAAGCCACGGAACAAGAGCCACGCCCGCTGAAGGGAGCTGCCCGGCCCCCGGAGGAAACCCCGATGGAGCCCTTCCTGGGGAAACCTGAACAGCCTCTTGTGTAGCTCAGAGTCACCCGGGAACCTGAGCGGACATTCCCAGAACCCCAGCCCATGCTCTCTGCTGACGTCACTGTTCTGCGGGTTAGCAGACAGCCGTGCCGAGGAGCAGCGTGCTGTCAACACGCAGGGCAGGGGGTGAGGTGCTCCCCCCCGAAAGGCTGGAGCACTCGGTCTAGAGTGGCACTTGGTGCGTTTCTGCCTGCTTCTGTTTTCCGTGGCATCTACTGTTACGGCAGATTTTAAGTTTCACCTAGAAACCAAGCAAGCTTCCAGGAGGACAGGGGACATGACTCCCGAGACCACAGGAGAGGAGTTCCCGACACAAGTGGTGGAAGAGGACAGTCCCGTCAGGATGCTGATCTGTGTTCTTGCTCAAGAGCCAGATGGCAGCGGGGACGCTGGGGCGAGGGGTGAGGCCGCCCTGCCCACTCGGTGCACCTCATGTCAGGCGCAGATGCAGATCTGCCTGCAGCCTTCATCCGACCGTCACCGTCAAGATGCTAAGGCTCCGCAGGACGGGCGGTTCCTCGGTAGGCCATGCTCGTGGTGTGATGTGAGGGGTGACCCAGCTCTCTGAGCCCTGGGGTTCTACCACTTCCACTGCCCGCTGGGTAAGCTGGCACCTGCTCGAGGCGGGCGAGCCCCAAGTCCCGAGGCCACTGGTGACAGCTCAGGTGGACTCGGGAGACCCACTCCCAGGAGCGCCCACTCGAGGAGACGTGGTCATAATAAGCCCTGACGTGGGTGAGGAGCTGTTACTGAGGAAGCTGTCACCACACACAGTGAGCTGACAGACACTCTAGTCACCATGGACTTGAGATTCTGAGTCACTGTCCTCACGGGACAGACAGTCTCAGCTGAGAGAACTGGTGTCCCAGGCGGGACCAGCATCCTGGGCTCCACACGTCAGCGGAGGAAGCAGGTCTGGGAGCGCTTCTAGAAGCAGTGGCCGCGTGGGGAGCCCCGGCGGGAGCGGAGGTCTCTTCAGCGGTGGCTCAGCCCGTGAATCAGTTTCCTTCTGGGTCTCTGCTCAGTCACGGGGTCGCTACATCGTGGGCCACAGTCTAAGCCAGGGCTTTCGGAGTGAGAGGGCGGTAGGAGCAAGGCCCGGGAACCAGCCCCAGGATGGAAGGTCTCATTCTGGAGACGGGAGGCTTAGAGTCAGGGCCGCTGCAGTACAGACGGGTGTCCCCCGACGGCACGCGACTGAAAGCAGCGACAGGCTGCCACACGTTCCCAGTCGCTCTTTTCCAAAGACGTTTTGAAGAATCCAGGGTAAGATTCTTCTCCATCTTTTTGGACCAGGTGCCTGGCGTCAGGAGACAGCCCCTGGGCGGGCTGTACATGATCCCTCCGCCAACACCCACTGGCTAGTGTAGGAACGTTTGTGGGGCCTCGTTTGTTTGCTTGTTTATTGACCCTGTGCCACATACTTAGATTATGTTCCTCATCGCATCTCCAACAAACGCTCCCGATGGTGGGGAGTCGGTGCGGCACCTCGTGAGGGCACCGGCTCTGCCTTCGGGCGCCCACGTGGCCGAGCTGGGGAGGGAACCAGCTCCGGGATGTTCCGATGGATCGGGAAGAGGCCTCATCCTGCTGCTTTCAGAGCAGCACCTGGTTGTAGAAACATTCCTTTTCCGCGTGGTCTTATTTACCTGTCTGCGTTTCTCCCAAAGTGCAAAAACTGAGGAACCAAATATTTAGCTCAGTAGCCAACTGAACCCTGTATGTTAGTCATTAAAAGCATCCCGCGAGGTTAAAAGGTTTCCAGGGCGGAACCGCGTTCCTCTGTTGGGTTAGATTCTGTTACTTACTTGTTCACAGGCCAGGAAGACGACAATGTCGCCCTTCTCGCCCGAGTGGTGAATTTCCAGGATGAGGCGCAAAACAGACTCCAGAGCCGCCTCCGGAGCCCCGCTGAGGTGCACCACCTCCACGGGGCGCCTGCTGGGCACCTCCACGAGCGGCACGTCGCCGTAGTGAGCGCTGAGTTTGCTGAGCAGCAGGGGCGGGGTGTTAATGACGAGCTTCAGCTCCGGCCTCGCCAGCAAGACGCCTTTGAGAAGGCCGAGCAGCACGTCGGTGGCAATGCTTCTCTCCTGGATGTCGTCCAGGACGATGACGCCGTAGCTGGCCAGGAAGGGGCTGGACATCATCTCCCGCTGCAGCATGTCATCAGTGCAGTACCTGCAGGAGGGACACGCAGCTAGCGTCCTCGCACGAGGACTCGGACCCAACTCCCAGGACCACGCAATGCCGCGCCTGTGTCCCGCGCTATAAACCAGGAGTCCTGAGCCTTTACTGGGCCGAGAGTCCTTCACGTCGGAAAAATCCACAGGCCTGCACAACCGCAAAATGCACGTGAGCAAACTTTAAACCGTTTGCAGACGGTCACAGGCCGCCAAGAGCATCTCTGGAGCCCAGGTAAAGGCTCTGCCCTCGGCGCTATGGCGCCCGGGTTCCCGTGGTCTCCACCCCGTGCCATCTCCCTCGCTGACTGCGGAGTGCGCTTTCACGCAGTAAGTCTGAGCTGTGAGTCAACTACATGCTGAGCCCGGTGTCCTCCTGCCACGTCATCGAGCGGGGGGGTGGGTGGCCCGGGCCTGACGGTCCTCAGCTGACCCCTTCCAAGAAAGAAAAGGAAGGACGTGAACACTTGTTAAGCCCCTCGTGGTGCCAGGCACTGTGCTGGTGTCTTTCTCATTTAACCTTCAGAATAAATCTCGAAGGTAGACATTACTAGCTCAAACTGGTAAATGAGGAGACTTGGAAAAGTACAGTTTGAAAAACACGGAGCTAAACAGCCATGATGAGGGCTGATGTCCAGTTCTGTAAACCATCCGGGTTTTCTGTTGACACTGTGGGAGGTCAGGGAAGCCTCCGTGGAGGCGGGGACCTGGCATGGACTAGGGGAACTAGCCAAGCCCGGAGAGGGCGGCTCAGCAGCAGAGGGTGGTGCGGATGACCAGGCCCCGTGTCTGGCCAGCACACGGCAGCCCATGCGGACCCACCCTGAGGCGGGGCCTGAGAAGACAAGACAGGTCTGGGGCCACCCAGCAAGTGACTTCCCTGAGAGTCGTGGGGGATTAGACCAGGAATCCCGACGGGGCCGGGCGGGGACAGAGCCGTCGTGAACACTGCGAGGCTTGGACCTTGACGTGGAATGCAGGGCACACGCTCCGGTGATTGTGAAACACAAGCCCAGTCGTCAGCTTAGCAGGCGGAACCCCACCCACCTCAGGATCGTCTCGCTGGTGCAGCAGTTCTCAAACGGGATCACGTAGCCGACCTCGTGGCCAATGTTGACATCCATTTCGTCCGCCACGCGCAGGGCAAGCTGGACGGTGGGCTGCTTGTGCGCCTGCGTGCACACCACGCCCCCGTGCTGGTAGTGGACGGAGAGGCAGTACTCGGCGCACCACTGCGGCACCTGCGGGCGAGAGCCAGCCGTCAGCGCCCGCCGCTCGCCAGGAAACCCACCAGTGAGTCACCCTCTGAGTGAACAAACAGTCTGTGTTTACCCCAGAGTTCCCACTGGCAAAGAAATCAAGCAAGAAAGAACAGGAAGGCGTTAGGACTGTTAACGTTCGATTCCCAGATGAAAAAGGCAGGTAAAAATAAAAGGCAAAAATACATATATATATTTTTAACCTCAGCTATATTTCTGAAAAACAAACAAAACACTAATCTATTTATGAATTACTATTTTCTTTCTGGCTACAGGAAACCTCCCTAAAAAACATGCCTTGCCATATCAACTATTGTGTTTTAAGCAAAGTAAACATTGCATAGCATTGAGATGAGAAATAGTGACTCAGAGTTAAAGCATTTATATTAAATGCTCAGAATAAAATAAACAGATGAGCCTGCTTAGCATTTCCCTGGTATTTAAAGGTAAATACGCTGCATTATCTCAAGTTCATTGGTGCAAGAATGATGGGAGTGGAAGGGCCGAGTCCACTGTGTGTTAGTCCCAAGACACTGCCAATGAGCTACGCTCTGCTACCCGTGTTTTTAAGCTAAATCATCCCAAGGTATTTAAGTTTTAATATTTAACTATCGATAATTTGATGTTTGCTAGGCCCATCATGGAATCCTTAGATTTTAATCCTCACTGTAATTTGAAAAAGACATAACTTTACCAGAAATCATAAGTAACTCCAAATGAATGACTCCCGTGAACTGCAAATACCCACCCACTAACCGTGCAAATGCAGTTCCAGCCGGTGAGAAACGCATCAGCACGTACGCAACGCCGCTTGTGCTACAGAGATGAGCGCGTGACACACGGCGCAGGACACGGACCGGATCCAGGCAGGACCGTCACAGCCAGCTGCAGGCCCCGCGAAAGCTCAGCCACAGCCGGCGGATAGTTACCCAGGGACCGCCCAGTGGGCGCCAGGGCTGCTGGCAGAGGGGAGAGCCCATCCCCCTTCACTACCCTCCGCGGCCCAGAGGCCTGGGTCACGGAGGCCTGAGGAGGTGGGGGCCTCACAGCTCAAAGCTCGGCTCCCAACAGTGACTCAGCCATCGCTGGGGTGTGACCGTCACCCGGGGCCCCTGGCTCCCTGCCTCAGTGAAGACCTTGAAGGCCGTGCTGCGCCCCATTCTGAGCCCCGATTCTGTGCCTGCTCGGGGGCAACTTTCTCTGCCCCACAGCACCTTCCTCCTCCCCCACAGTCTCTGGAAGGTGCCGCTCGGTGAGAACCAGGAGGCTGGGAGGCCGCACCTTCCCGGGGCAGACAAAACACCAAGGCCGCCCGCTTGGCTGTGGTGACATAGCAACATCATGCCATTTGGTGATAAAAGCAGGTTACCACTCCATCACATGGAAAACACCCTATTTACCAAGCGGTCTCCTTGGAGTTTTGGCAGCAGACACCCACATTTACACACACACACGCTAGGAACAGCTAGGAAGCACGGCTTCGGCTCTTCTGAGCGCACCCCATGACTGTCCGCTTCCCAGCCCACGGCCTCATGCGTCTTCCCACTGGGACGTGAGGGGGTCACAGCCAGGGCAGTGAAGCCACCTCGCCACCTCGGGGTGCAAGGGAGGCTGACAGCGTGGGCGCCCTGAGAACCGGGTCCCGGCTCCCCGCTCCCTGGGCGCCATGAGGACCGGGTCCCGGCCCCCGGCTCCCTGGGCGCCATGAGGACCGGGTCCCGGCCCCCGGCTCCCCTGAGAGCGGTCACCAGGACTCGGCCCGCCGGTGCTTTAGCGGTGAGTGGCCTCTGGTGACCAGGATCTAATCCGAATCAGGGCCTTATCGACGTCAGTGCCTGAGATTCTACAAGCTGCACCATCTCAGCCAGCAAAGTGAAGTGGCTCGACCTACCCTAGGCGACAGGCACGGTGCTGGGCTGCTGGGTTGCGGAGGGTCGGACCCGGTCCTCGGGGTGGGCTCGGTCCAGACCAGAACCCAGCAGCGGCGGCCCCGGTGTCCTGTATGTCTCAGCGCTGCCCCGGGGGACACGCACAGGAGGCCGCTCCCGTCCGCTCTGCAGGTCCTCGCCTCGTCCATGGACCTCTGACCCCGGGACTGTGACATGTGCACTGCACTGGGCACACCTGTGCCCAAAGCCACGCTTCCTCCTGCAAGTCTCCAGGACGCCCGCTGCCTCCCACCAGCCGCCTGGGGTGGTGCCAAGGCCCCTCCCTCCCCACTCAGCACCAGTCACGGAGCCCACAGCTGGAGCAGCCTGAGGCCCCGGCCCCCCACAGACACGATCCCCCACAGCTTTACCAACAAGCCATCCAGGCATCCTGGCTGCTGGGCGTGCAGACCTGACAGTCACACCCCGAAGCCCGCAGGCAAACAGCATGCGTCTCGGCTTTAAAATCCACGCAGCTGAGGCCACGGACATGGACCTGCTCCCACCCTGACTAGCGGCACACCAATCCCACCAGCAACACTGCTGGTCCACTGGCATGGGGACGCACCAGGGAACTTAATTTCTGCTGCCTGGCTTTTTGGCTTACGTCACGTCATGATGAAAACGACAGCAGCCGACCCTGGGCCGTGTCGTCATGAAGACACGTGGGGGCCCGGGCGGCGGGGCCACTCACCTGGGAGCTCTTCCCGCACTTGGCGTCTCCGGAAACGATCACCACCTGACTCTGGAGCAGGTTCTCCATGAAGGAGTACTTTTCCGTCCAGATGGGAAGGGCCTCTCTCTCGCGCAGGAGCTTGTAGTACCGGGAGGAGTACGGCAGCCCGTCGAACGGGTTCAGTTCCAGGTCCTCACAGGCCAGGAGGCCCTCCTCCTCGCCGTCGCTGGAATCCAGAGATTCGGGGAAATAGCGTTTTTCCGACGAGGAGTCTGGACATTCCAGCTCCTCTTCCTCCATCCTGTCGCAGGAGCTCACGCGGCCGGCATCCCAGCCCGGTTTCTCCCAGGGCCTCTCGCGTCGCCGCTGCACCAGGGGGAGGGCTGGCCCCCAGGACGGGTGCGGGCCTCGAGGTGTCCCTCCACCGGATCCGCGCTGGCTGCTCCCCGGTGCTGGCTCCCTCAGCACCGCACTCAGTGCCGCCAGTAAACCTGGAAACACAGAAAAGGCGGGTCAGGTCCGCACAGTGTCCCAAGGAAAGGCACCCGCTTTCCTGCGAGGGTAGCGGCTGCCTGTCACCTCCTCTGCCGGCTGAGCCAGAGGCTCAGGGCAGCTCTCAGCCTGTCCTGGGGGTTTGGAGAGAGACTCCCCCCTGGAGGGTGCTCCCTGCCTGACCCGGCGCGGCCCGGCTGGACTGACAGCGAATGGAGAGCCACGGGAGAGCGCTGAGGCTCGGTCACGGGGCCTAGGCCTTACAAGCGGTGCGGGGCCCCGAGAAGGGAGATGGGGCGTCAGCTGAGCCCCCTCAGCACCGACCACGAGAAGGTCTGTTGTTATTCTTCTTTAAGTTAAGATTTCTTCTCGTTTAAGGAGACCGTTTTAAAACTCCACTGGGCATCTGCTTGTGCCAGTTTACAAAGTCCAGGGAGGGAGTGGTGAGTCATCACTTTTCCCTGCGGAGGCCCGGCCAGCTTCCCCACGAGGCCTCCGCTGTCTAATCCACCAGGAATCCCAGGCTTTGTGGGGGCTCCAGGGTCTCTAGCCCAACACGTCAGATTCAAGAGGCAGCAAAAGACATCATGTCATTTAAACGAAGGAGAGACGTGTCCTACGGAAGGACAGACCCCCCCCTCCGGCCCCCTCCCGCCCCATGGTGGCTCAGCCCCTACGCCAGGTGGCTGCTCCCAGTGACCGGCGGGTTTAACAGGCAGCCCTATGGCCAGAAACAAGCCCCTTTCACCTTAACCAGGGAAACTAAAAAGAAAACACTCAAGTCAAAAGAACAAATCCTAAACTACGGTTCATGGCATTTGTTGCTTAAATGGCTTTATGGCGCCCCATGTATTGGCACCCCAGGTATTGGCGCTGTGGCTGTAGGTGGGTGGTTAGTGGCTGGAGGGCCAGCTCCCAGCCCTAAGGAATAAGGAGGAGGCTCCAGGTGCAGCCCTGTCAGCCATCGGACACGTGGGAGAGCCTCCGGGCCTGAGTGAGTGGACTGTCCCCCCCTCCCCCGCCCCCGGACACTTTGAGGGCCAGATAGAACATTCTATGCTTTGGAAGAAATACCATAAAACAGGAAATGTGTAGCTCTTTCATAGAAAGAAAGGCATTTAAAAACTTTGAAACATATAGTTTAATCACCTACATAGAGTTAGTAAAATATTTATATGAAATTTTATCCCCTAGGCCTGTTATACTTCAGTTTTACTGTCATTGAAACAAAGGGCTTATCATTCCTGGGACTTTAAACTTGTAGGGGCTGCCTTTTTGTTTGTCTTTGTTTTAACTGGCTCAGAGCTTCCCAAAAGCATATTCTATTTAATTTCTAGTGTCTACTTAAAACTTTTCTTGAACAGGTAAAGTAAAAATTCAGAATTTTATTTTAAAAACCTTATTTCTAGACTTTAACAAGTTGACAATGTCTTGCTTTTAAGTAAGCAAATCAAATTAATTGGATTTAAAAAACAAAAAAATTCACTTTTAACTCAATATTGGTTCATACCATATGCAGCTTGAATAATCAATTACTTTTTTAAAGAATCCTAGATTCTATGATAATTTACAATTTTTAGACTTATGTACAGAAAGACTTCCCAAGCTCAACCAACGCGTGTGTATCATAACAACATACGGCGCCCTCCATGGAAGTTTATAAATCAAGCGTTTTATTAGAATTTCAAAAGACTGGGTCACACTCAGTGCTTTTCAATATGATTTTGATGACTTTGAGTAATATTTTAAAAACTGCCATTTGAGTAAAAGCAGTTAATAAAGTGTGCGAGGTATTAATGTGGCTTATTCATACAGCCTAGCGAGATAGCTGAGCAAAGGGGTGAGTCCAATAGAAGCTCCAGCCACACTGAGCTCCTGCGGAGGCTGGCCTCCGGGCCTTTGCCCAGGCCCCCCTCTGCCCAGGAAGCCCCCTGCCCGCCCACCTCCACGTGGCCATTCCTCGTCCCTTGAGTACCAACCCCAGCCCCCAGGACGCCCCTAACACAGTGCGGGTGCTCAGTAAAGGCTGACTTATGCCTGAGCCAGTTCCACCCGTTACACTGAAGTTCTTTAATGAACCACGTTCCCATCCATATCTTTACTCACATGCATTTATTTTGCTTCTCACGTGACCATCAGAAACCACTGCAGGTTTTCTTATCCCCAGTTAGCAATGAGGAACAGTAGCTCCCGACTTTCCCACGGTGGCAGAGCTAGCAATTAATCAAATCATCCCTGACCAAGGCGTGTCCTCTTTCCATCATTATCTTCCTTAAATGACCAGGTACAGCTGGGAACCCACCATGAGCGGGAAGGGTACGGAGAAGCCTAAATCATGGGCTTAGCTCCTACAGTGCTTAAGCGGAGGCACAGACCCACCCACAGAAAACGAGGGAGAACTCTACCAGAAAGTATAGGACAGGGCTACGGGCCGCACTGTGCCCGGGGAGGAGAGAGGTGCTTTCAGTGGGCATTCGCCTGATCCTGGAGGACTTCCCGGAGGGGTGGGCAGCGTGGCCCTGCAGCCCATTACACTCGCCCCGAGTAAAGGGCGGAGAGGTGGGTACAAAGAAAACACAGCAAAAGTGACAATGTAATGGCTTTCAACATCTGACTGAACTCACGTGTTTCAGAAAGTAGCCAAGAAAGACAAATAGCACCCTCACTCGGGTAAAAAACAGAAAATAAAAATCCAACAACAAAAATGAAAACTCCTACTTGTGATAGTAAGGCTAGGAAACAACACATTCACTTGCTTTTTTTTTTTTTTAAGGAATTATCCGACTTGCCTTAAACAATGTTAATTTGCTGCTAGAGTTATCTTTACTCGGAGTCCGAGGCGGCCAAGGGAGTGAGAGGAGAAGAATGGCTGCATTGTGTCCCCTCCGCTCCCCTGGTGCCCCTGTGATAGGCTCTGGTTTGTTACATTTCCCTAAGCGTCAGCCAAGTCAGCAGTCAGGTAACTGTTCTGTCCAGCCAGGAGCTTAGGGACTTTTTAAAAAATCAAGACTTGCTATTCAAGTGACCACCAGTAACGCCCAGAGGTGCCAGTGAAAAGCAACAGGAAAGACAACAGAGAAAACCCGAAAGGCAAAGCCAGTACCTTCCCATTCACCCCCCTGGGCCTCCAGCAGCCTTCGGAGCTCAGGCCAGTGCCGCCAATGACCAAGCATGGCCGTTATCTGCGGCAGGTTCTCTGACACTCTTCCCATTCATTCGGCAGACATGTGCCGAGAACCACATTGTCCTGGGTGCCCAGGGAGAACCACAAACTGAACCTCGTCCCTGCCTCAGACCTTCGAGGGCCTCTCCACCCGCACCCCATTCCCGGCTCCCAGTCAGTCATTTCTTCTGGGTACACATCCCCTAAATTCCAATGTTGCTTTTCACAGTTGCCAAGGTCACCTGTTACCTAGACCAGTGGTCGGCAAGCCCCGGCTCGCGAGCCACATGCGGTGCTTTGGCCCCTTGAGTGTGGCTCTTCCACAAAATACCACGTGCGGGCGCGCACGTACAGTGCGATTGAAACTTCGTGGCCCATGCACAGAAGTCGGTTTTCGGAAAGGAGATAGACGAAACAAGTATACAAGACGAGTGTGGATGGGAGAGTTGGAAGGGGTCGACCTCAGTGAACGTACCTCAATCAGATTGAGGACGTTTTTAGCAAAGGCCAGTTTAGGAGTACCCTAATTACGTTAATAACAATGTACCTACCTATATAGTTTAAGTTTAAAAAACTTGGCTCTCAAAAGAAATTTCAGTCGTTGTACTGTTGATATTTGGCTCTGCTGACTAATGAGTTTGCCGATCACTGACCTAGACTATTTCCACGCCATGTCAACCTCCAAGCTACGGAGCAAGCGTTCCCCACCACTGTGAAGGGCTTCCGGTCACAGCTCCTTCTCCCAACCTCAAACCTGCGGCCAGGCCACACCGCCCAGTGCTCGTTACTTTGGCCTGGAGATCTGCAACGTTGTTTCTTTCTTTCTTTTTTTTGTCTTATTTTTAAACGGGCCTAATCAATCCTGTGCTGTTTGGGGAAATGTAGCCCTTTTTGGGTTACTGAATGCCAGGTTTTATCAGTAGCTGGTCATGTGTGATGACCATGTTACTAATGAGCATCACTGTTTCTGGGATGAAAAGACCAATTCATGATGTTGCTATTGGTTTGAAAACCTGCAAAGGCAAAGCCAGTACTTGGGATCTACTGTTGATCTCAGACACATTCCGTGTAAAAACGCACCATCCCGTCTTTACATTTCAGAAGCAGTTCCTGCTGCTTTAATGTTTTAGCGATGAGTGTGGATTCTTCGGACATCACACTGCCTGTCGGTACCAACACATGGAGCTTCTGCTGTGACAGTTCCTCTGGAAGGTCTGCATGGGTCCGAGGGGGGAGCCCTTTGGGGGACATAACCCATGTCCTGTCCATCAGTGTGTGCTCCTCCGGTGCGTTCACTCTGAAGATCCCCAGGAGGGAAGTGATCCCCGCGGTGCCCTTGTCCTCCGTGGGGCGGGAAGCTCTAGTGGCAAAGGATGAGTCATCCCGTCCTGACCCAGAAACGGCTCCTCCCGGACCCTCAAGTGCAGGACGAGCGGCTGGGGGAGCGGCGGGGGGGAACTGAGGAAGGCCCCCTCCCGGGACTGGACCGCCCCCCGACCCGGTCCGTCCGCACTCTCTCCGTTTTCTCCGCCCTCCTGGCCGATCGCTCCCACCCCGACGCTCTCTGATTGTTTGCATTTTCACAACCTACCAGGTCAGGTCCGGGTGCGCCTCCGCCTCCCCGCTTCCTCCAGGCGCGACCTGGGCGTCAGGGTCCCGTCCCAGGAAAGCCGGCCTGGGACCTGCTGGCCTCAGCCCGCACGCCTGGTGCTGACCATGGGGGCTGGGTCCTTCACAGACACGAAAAACTCACCCAACCGGAAAGCCCCAGCGGCCGCGGCCGAAATGTGACACCGGGGACAGCGCAGCCGGCCAGGGCCCTCCTGCTGCGGGGTTCGGGACCGGCCTGGCCCGGGGCGACGGGGGCTCCGATGGGCTCGATGCTGCCCGGGAAGGTGGCACGAGGCTCCCTCCCAGGAAGGCTCCCTCCCCAGGGCCAAGGGGGCCCCCCTGCCCGGCAGGGCGGGGGTGCAGGCCGGGCTCCCTCCCCGCCGGGTCCGGGCTTCGGAATTCCGGGGGGCAACGCCGGGGAAGGCCGCCTTTCCCCCCCGGGCGTCCTCCCCTTCGGTGCCCGG